GGCTAGACCCCACACTCGATTAGAAACCACAGACTGTATAGCCTCATCATAGTAAAGGCTCCAAGCATTCTCATTTTCCATCATCAAATACTGGTGATCATATTGACTTGGAAGATTCAGGTCGCATCCTTCGCCAGTAGAATTAATTATTTTCCGAATTTTAACTTCACAACGGAATGCATACGAAAGTTTGMAAGATTGTTGATATCAATTCTCGGAGAAATGACTTTTTGACCATCTCAACCTCATGCACTTGAATTGATGAAATCATTGTGAATAATTGCTCAATGATCGGAAGCAAGCTTGTAGGTTCCTTTGAATTATATCTTGACTAGTCCCGTGACTCCCTACAAAACCCACCTRAAACCCCCTGAACCTCAAGCCCCCCAAGGTATAATTCCATCCCTRCACTACTACTGATGGATTGGAATGTGTTGATGTGGGACTTGCTTGTGGTACGAGTTGATGGAAGCGTTTCGTCTGAAAACGAGAAATACATCGGCGATGTTATTGTATTATGGACAGCATGGAAGTAAATCTGTGTATGACGTTTCCTTGTCTAGATAAACAAAGCGGATTGCTCGCTCGTTCACATTCTCCAACTTGTCTGTCAAGGTTTTACTAYAGAAATGCCATACTTCTGTGCAATAATCAAAGTGAGGTRCATTGAACAATTGTTAGATATCTTTTCTTGTCTCAAAAGGTAGCAACTTGTTCATGCGCTTTAGAACAGCAACCTGTTGGGTAACCGTAATACTTTAGTTTATCATCAAATGTTACACCCAGAAGCTTAAGCTCTTCTTTAACTGGAATGGCTTTATCATCGCAGTAGAAAGTTGGCATAACTTGACTGTTTCCCATGACGATTGCTTGATATTTGGAGGGTTCCGCTTCATTCCGTTTCTTTCATACCATTCGTCAACACATGCTAGATCTTCGTTGATCATTGCCTGAACGCTGAGTGGATTAGTGTCTGTCGAAAAAATCTGAGTGTCGTCTGAGTAGGCAGATATATTACAGTTTTTCACTACATAGGCGAGATCGTTCATGAAGATGTTAAAATGTAATGGGCCTAAGATTGACCCTCGAGGGACTCCTGCTTTAATATGTTGCTAAGTTGAATAATGATAGCTCAGCTTTACTCTCTGATATCGATTTGAGAGGTAGATTCTTATGAGTTTGGCAGTGCTATGATCGACGCCATATTGCTTTAGCTTTGAAGTAATTGGATCGTTGAGCAAGGTGTCAAAAGCCTTACTTAAGTCCACTGAGACCAATCCAATCACTCTGTGGTTGTCTAGTTATCAGTAGGTGAGCCAACTTTGCCTAGAAAGAGGCGTGCACCTTCTTGCTATGAAACAGGTTCTTCTAAACAAACATATCCTGATGCAGCTCAAGATCACTATCAAAGAGTCTACTTTGAGGAAATAATAAGCAATAATCTTTATTGTACTCATAAAAGTTCATATTTACGGATTTTTTATATGTTCAGAATATAGTGTTAGCTTTAGTATATAGATACAAGATAATGTTTCCATAAATATTATATGATTAATAAGATTCTCATTGAATGCTGTCGCAGGTAATGATCACTTGGTCAACGCTATTGAAGAACGTTTCAATCAACTACCTTTCCTAGTCTATCACAGCTTGGAAGATCTGCTGTTGAAAGCCATAAAAGGAGAAGACACCTCTACAGAAATGAAAACTGCATGGTCAACCTTTACCGTAAATGTATCTGAAACAGTACTTAAAGCTCAACTGGCAACATTTATGGTCATTATGGGTGGTAAAAACGATCAGATTATGTGCTTCCGATAAAATAAAGTCACTRAATGACCATGAAAGGTGCTTGATCAACCAGGTAGAAACACTGTGCAAAATAATGCTTGTCATCCCGGCCACAAGTGCAAAAGCAGAACGATCATTTTCCACTGCAAGGCGTTTGAAAACGTGGCTGCGTGCAGCAGTCAAGTTTCAATGATGTATGCATCCTAAATACACACAAGAACAGATTAGGTGATGGATATTCTTCTAGATTGTGCACAGTACTTGATAGCTGGTATGTATAACGTTTTTTTGTTTTGTTTCATGATAAAAGCTCGTTGAATTTTCCTATAATGTAATTCATTGAGAGTTATATTTACTGCAAAATGAAAGCTTGATTAATAAAAAAGGATTTCTTGACCTTAATATTAATTAATCTTCTTAGCCCCCCCAGGGCAAAAAACTCTCCTCCGCAAATGCCTACAAAATACTCAATTGCGGTGCATTCCATACTACTGAGATTTGGGTGAACCATTAGAAAGGTAATAAGTGAGGGCGAAAGGAAATTAATTTCATTTCCAGTAAAACTCACATACTTTTCAACTAAACTCTGCGCAAAGAAGTGAGTTCGTGACCAGTATAACATTAATCWACTAATTCTAAGCCTCAAAAAGAGGGTCTCAATGGGGTTAACCGTGAGCCGTGAAACGGCTGAAAAATTAGCCGTTAGTCKTGAAAATGCGAAAAAATTAGCCGTGAGGCGTGAATATTTGTATAGCGTGAGCCGTGATTCAGTTTTATCCCTCAGAAGGACAGCCAACTCCGATGCAGGCGCGCGCTTGTAATTTTTTTTTGTAAATTTTTTTGTAAATGCTCTATTCGCAGAGTAGCTCATTTAGTGCATCGAAGACCTTAATTGAGCGGGAGCCTGCGTCACGCTAAGTGTGGCAAGAAACTAAAGCTGCTCGAAATAGAACGTTACAATATTGAATCGACATCTTTTTTTAGATTGCTAATAAAGTTATAAAATATTTTTTAATTCTTAGATAGTATTTTTGGGATTTGTTTGTACATTTTAAAACTCCCGCTCATTTAGTGCATCGAAGACCTTAATTGAGCGGGAGCCTTCGTCACGCTAAGTGCGACAAGAAGCTAAAGCTGCTCGAAATAGAACGTTATAATATGAATCGACATCTTTTTTTTAGATTGCTAATAAAGATATAAAAG